TACTCTCCCTCGAACAATTTTTTACTGCCCTCCGAAAATTCGGACTCAAGCTGAATCCAGATAAATGTTCCTTCCTCGCATCAGAGGCAAAATTCCTCGGACGCATAGTAAACAGCGAAGGATTCAAGGCTGATCCAGAATACGTTCGTGCCATCAGGAAATGAAACCTCCAACATCAAAAAGGAATTACAAAGCCTTATCGGCCGTTTAGTGTAGATCAGACAATTCCTAGAGACACGTCTTCACGAACAAATCAGATCAGATATGTTTTCAAAACTTATGGGTCCCATACACGAACTCAACAAGGTTAATAAACCGTTTATCTGGACGCAAAATGCCGACAGAGCCTTCAAAAAAAAATCAAGGACCGTCTCTCTTCGCCACCCGTCATCTCGTTTCCGGATTTCTCCAAACTTTTCACACTCACCACCGACGCCAGTGACGTCGCATGTGGAGCAATCTTAATGCAAGAAGCCGACAACGGGAAGAAAGATATCATAGCGGTCGCTTCCCATACATTCAACTCCACGGAACAGAACTGGTCCACGACGGAACGAGAGGCATATGCAGTAAAATGGGCAATATTGAAATTTGATTATTTCCTTCGCAACCGCCCCTTCGTCATCTTCACCGACCACAGATCGCTGACATATCTGGACCAACGAGAGTTCAATAATGCCAAAATACGACGATGGCAAGAAGAAATTTCATGTTATAAATTCGTCTTAGAATATGTTGAAGGCGAACCAAATGTATGGGCTGACATGCTCAGCAGAGGTTGAGGACATAAGAAAACGAAAGCCCCGAACGACCCTACACCGGCAGGCAGGACATTTGAGGTAAGTGGTTCAGACCTCCGCGTATACATCCCATCTTGGTGCCTCGGCGAGTTTAACGTTTTACAGCTCATTCCCAAAACTCACACACCACAGAACGCCCGCACCCACAAGCGCGTCACCAACGCATTCTTCGCCTATCACTCTACCACCACCATCCCCACTGAGAGAATCTGCAACCACCTCGGCATCGCAAATGAACAACAGAAGGACGACGCCCTGGCAAAGATCATCAGCGCCCTCCAGTCACCCACTCCAAGCGAACCTCATATCGATCCTGACGACCACCGAGCTACGCTTTTCAAAAAACATTTGCACCAATTTTTCTAGAACCAGGCACCTCCGTTTTGATGATAAGAGACAGTAAACACTCTCCGAGATTGGTTGTACCATACAAACTACGACCCAGATACCTCTACCAGGCACACAAGGGCAACAACCACTCAGGTGTTACCCGTATGCGAGAACCCCTTTCCAGCTACTGGTGGAATTCAAAAACCGCGACATCAAGGCCTATGTCGATTCTTGCGACACGTGTGCTAAGTGAAAGGGCAACTACGGTAGACGTACCCACTAGCCCATTGGCCACTACAAACGAGGAAAGAGACCATTCGATCTCGTCTTTATAGACTTTGTTACAATGCCTAACTCAAAGGGAAAACGCTACATCCTAACCATCTTGGATAGCTTCAGCCGACATTTTACAGCCATACCATGCGCGAGAGACCGTGCTATCGACGCCGCCCGCGGATTATACCAGTTCTTACTTCGACACAGAGAGTTTCCACGCATAGTATCCTCTGACCGAGGCACACACTTCACTGGTATCGACAATTCTGTAACCAGATGTCAATCACGCAAGAACTTCACTGTCCTTGGCGCCCGCAAAGCTCAAGAAATATCGAGAGGCAACATCGCACGATGAAAAACGCACTTTATATGTTATGCGAAGACAGGAACTGTGAATGGACAGACGTTCTAGAATCTGTCGTTTCGTCCATGAATGCCACGACCAACAGCGCCACCTGTGTCTCCCCGCACTATGCCATTACTGGCCGTCACCCCAACATCGGCCTACCTACACTACACAGAAAAGAAATCGCAAGTGACGATCCTGGAGCATATGGAATGCAAATTAATGCCCTGCTAAAGCAGGTTCACCACCATGTAACCCTGGCCAACGATGAAGCTGGCCACAAACTTGTGACTAATTTAAATCCCCTCACATACAAGGACCCAATACAAGTAGGCAACAAGGTTTTACTTCACCGGCCACACTCAACTGTTGCCCAATCCTCTCATCTGCCCTGGATAGGAAATTACACCATTATAAAAACGAACAATATGATGTGTCAGGTGCAAAACGATAATGGTGATACAATCTGGATTCACAGTGCACATATCCGACGACGGGCTCCACGTCCAACACATCTTTCTAATACAATCTCTCTGCCTCCACCATGTAACACTCACCAGGATCATTCTCCTCCACATCCCTCTGGGACACATAATTCAGCAAATAATTCCATACCAAAACAAATGCCAATAAGAAGAACACAAGGACAACTTCCCACACGCTTCAGAGACTTTATCATGAATTAGTCACCCAAATATACACGAACAACGCTCACTGTAAATCAGACAGAGAACTGGGGGAGCCTTGTTATAAAATAAAATAAGACATATCTCGGCTGATTTACAGGCAAATAAACTAACATACTCAAGAGCGAGAGCCGGATGTGAACGGGACAAGGCCCCATCACAAAATGACCATTATCGTCGTTTACGCATAAGTCCGACGCATAGTTCCGGTCGAAAAATAAAATAATAGTTCCTGGTCGAAAAATAAAATAATATTTTAAAGTGTTTCTATTTTTCAACCAATAAAAATGCTTCCCTCCTAACTATACTCGCGTCGTTTTACGAGCCTGTTAAGCCATAAAAAAACGCCATAAAAGGGGTCACACGGGGAAGTACAACAGCAGTCAACAGGAGGCCAGGGAAAAGGTAGCTGTCCCAAACCCACACGTTCCTATTGAAATAAATCACGTGAATCTATTTCTGCTGTTGTCGTATTTCTTGCAACCATACGCTTGTCTATAACAGTACCAAACTGCTTAAAGAGGAAGAAAAAAACGACTTTACTGAGATAAAACGGGCTCTTTATACGGTCTTTGGAACGGACATGTTTGTGGAATATCAACTATTTATTGGGCGCCGACTGGTTGATATTTACCTGGCCGATTTATAGAAACTTTCTATGCTGTTTCGAGACATGAATGACCGGATGCTGGGGTGGGCTTTTGTGAACATCAAGAATGGATGAACTATCGACCGACTAGCTAGTGGTACGAGCCCGAGTCATTCGCAAAGAAGCGGAACAAGTGCTAACAGCAGCAAGAATTGACAGCGGAGCAGTATCCCAACTAGAAACATACACCAAATGATTCCTCTACCATTGGCAATCGCGATAACCTCGTATGTTACAAAAGTGGTGGCCCAAACCACTTTGTAAGGCAGTGCTGGAATCGAATTGAGCACAGAGACAGCTGAGGTGCTATCATTGTAATAAGCAAAATTATGTGGCGAGGAATTGTTTGGGAAAGGATCCGGGAACAAAGGTATCATCGCCAATCTTGTCAATACAGTAAATGTACCATTACCTGCAGTTGGTGTTCAGGTAGATGATATGCTGTGGAGCTGAAGTTGTTACGATTCACACAGAACAAGCTAACCATGCTGAAGTTGGTGTTCTGGTCATGCAAGAAAAACCTCTTGGCTATGATCTGACGCTTGAGATCGATTCTATACACGCATTGGGCGGCGCCGTGGTTACACCAGTTGGAGATGTGTAACTCGGAAGAAAGAAAGAATCGTGTGCAGCAATTTCCATTGAAGAACCTGACTTTTGTGCTACTTTTGACGACAAAGAGAAAGCCGCCCGAACTATAAGATGGAAGTGGGCCATGAATAAAGTACCAGAGCCGTTACAGAATGCAGTTCCAGAATACGCAGTATCTAGCAAGATCAGGGATGCATATGAAGAGTAGTTGCAAACATGAATTGCTATCGGCTGGTTGATACCATACCCACCAGGAACGATTAGGACCCCTCAAGGGCCTGATCCCTCTGATGGCTGGTGCACAACACAACAAACACAAGGTACGTCCGGTCTTGGATTACCGAGAATTAGACCACTACGTGGATGCCTTAATTGCGCTTTCAAATTACGGGAATGGAGACAGCAAGGCCCTGCTTCCTCTCCGGAAAGCCTATCTTCAGATTCGCGCCCATGAGTTGCTGTGGCCGTTTCAAAAGGTAATAATAAAAGGCAAACGGTATTGCTTTGACGTTCAGAATGTGGCACCTCTTATTATGAAAGTAATCGTCAAGGCCATATTGTCTCAAGAGGAAGTGACAATGAGAGCCAACTCATCTTATATTGATGATATATATGTAAATGAAAATATGTCTGCGGGTAACCACAAGAACTCCAAGCGCCTGAAAGATGGGACTCTAGTATTGGGCTTGATGTCTGGAGGGGAGCACGATACTCTACGGTTGAAGTGAGGGAGTGCAGTTCTGGAACTCCCTGCCGTAAACATTATATACTACGTATTAATCCATCATCGTGTAATAAATACGAACATTTTGCAATGCACTTCTCAGTTTTTGCTTTTACGATGTACTTTGTATAAGCATAAAACTTACCTTTTTATTTTATCTGTCGATTTTTAATTCAAATTAAAACCAGATTTTAAGCAATAAATATTCACATTTGTAATGTGGGCTTCATATTTGCTTGTTAAATCATCGTTTTCTATTTCTCTTAATCTGTTCATATTGCTTCAGTCTTTATTTTCCTTAGCGTTTAACAGTCAAAACAATGAAGAACTTTAATTTAAAACATTCTGTTTTCAATATATAATTCAGTATATTTAATTTTATAGAAATCATAATTTGCCCCAGTCCTTCAGGTTAAAGATTAATATAAAACTTGTAGAAAGCTAAATCGCTTTACATGTAAAAATAGATTATTTCTTATATTTCTTAGTAAGCATTTTCATTATGTATATTCCATTTCTTCAATTAATCCATATTTGAATATTTTACGTGATAAAAAATAACACTTTCAAAGTGTTTACTAAGAAATGCTTATTATACCTGGACATTCAGGAGCATCACCTTGCAGGCGGTATGTCATTTTCTTATGGTCAAAACTGCAGAAAAGTATTTTCTTGATGAGTCCATATGAATAACTGTGATTGCAAGAGATGGTTACTTTGCTACCAAAAGGAACAGTATCCGTAGATGGCTCAATCGAATGCAGATTTTCACGGCCACTGAGAACTGTTTTCATATTTGAACAATGTTCCACTGCAAAACAAGTTTAAAAAAAAAAGTTTAAGCAAAAATAGCAAAGTCACAAATTCTCATACTTCTAAACAGTATAAAGTTTGTTTAAAATTCACTCACACTTAAATTTTTTTTTCATTTTTTCATTTTACTATATAGCACTTTCGATTTTGTTTTATATTTTTCTCTCCTCCCCTCATATCTTCTTACACTTCCTTTCTTTTCCCATATCTCTCTACTTTTTCATCGTTCGCTCTCTATTTCTTTCTTTCTTTCTTTCTTTCTTTCTTTCTTTCTTTCTTTCTTTCTTTCTTTCTTTGCTGATATACTAGGATTTTCACGCACTATAGAGTTTACAGAGAATGGCCAGAAAAAGAAATGAAATCCATAGAGCGTCAATTTTGTGTGCAAAAAATCCTTGTTGATGAAAATATTTGGAAAAGAATGCCTTGTATCAATATATGCTATATTGTATATACTATATTTATGGAATGAAAGGCCTCAATATCAATGACAAAGCGAATATTAATTTAAACTGTATAATACATGGTGACATTCTCATGGTGACAATCGTCAGTCTCTCTCTCTCTCTCTCTCTCTCTCTCTCTCTATCTATATATATATATATATATATATATATATATATATATATATATATATATATATATATATATCTTTGCATCTCTTCTCTCTCATATCTCTCTATATTCTCTCTGTATCCGTTTGTTGACTGATCCGATTCTCTTTATCTTAGTTTTTCTCCCCACTTCTTTCAAATGGCAGTCTGCATGTTTCTTTCTTACTGTCTTCCACATTCATTTTCATTTCTCTTACTGATTTATTTTTCTTTAAAACTTCTTTCTTTCTTGCTCCTGATATCGTCTGAATAATTTCCATTAACTTTGGAATCGATATATAAAAATTATATTCCTTATTAAGAAAACAACGTGCTTTTCTTGTGTTTAGTTTTCTTTTCAATACAAGATCGTTTCAATTAAATAGTTTATTTTTTTCTGAATTCTATAAGTGACTCACATTCACATGAAGGTGTTTCATGATCCCATTGACCACTGGACAAGCAAGTTAATCTGTTTCGCCCCACTATTTTATAACCGATTTCACATTCGTAATCTGCCACTGATCCGTAATAAAAATGTTTTGCTGATGTCATCAGAATAGAGTTGACATGGACGGCTGGGGCTGGACACATGACCTCTACAAAATAAAAGCAAAAAATTTATATAAAGAGAGAATACAAATATAAACTAATAAAATATAAAATATGTAAAGACATGTTGCATGTAAGACATTATTTCAAACAATTCACCAATTTAAATTTCTCCTGTCTAATTTAAATAAAATAAGTGAAAACTAATTTATAAAAAATGAAACTGAATGATATAGTTGATTTTGTAAAAACATTAACCCCTTATTCATTTTGATATAAAAAATATGAAAATAATTGAGCTAGGTCGGAGGATTTAAGCTGGTCCATATCTATCAGATCTTGTATTTTGTATTTATTATTTATGCACTCGAGACATCCAGGATATATAATGATGATATAAATAACTACTTACTAATGCAATCATGTTTAGGAATATATCCATTATTTCTCAGAATAGGTGACTTCAAATTTGGAATTTTTACAAGGTCGGTGAAGTTTTGTGAATAAAGCCAGTATCCGTCAGTACAAGCGCAATAATAACTGCCTTGAGTATTGATACATACGTGATGACAGCCAGCGTTATTAGTAGCGCATTCATTAATATCTGCAAAAAATAAGAACCATATTGGATCACTTGAAAGTATAACATTTTGTCCAGTTAAAATTATAAAATGAATAAAAAATCTGTAAACAGCAGGCGTAATTCTCATTTTTTTAAATCTCGAAAATGAAATGTACAAAATAAATTATAATTTTCTGTAAATGGAAGACAATGAACCATGAAGATCTAAAAGAAAAGAAAGTTGTAGTTTTCAACCTACCAACACAATCACCGCCTTCTTTCTTGAATCCGTTGTTGCACTCACATTTGTAGCTTCCAATTGTATTCACACACATCTGGTTCAAATTACAGGGTATTTTTAAGCATTCATTTTCATCTGAAGATGGAAAAATGAAATTTTTATCTATTTGACAAATGCTAACTACTAATGAAAAGCTACTACAAAAAATAGCTGATTATCTAAAGCTATAATTGTGGAGTCTCTACATGTCCTACATTGATACTTTTTTTTTTAAATCGCGTTTTCTTTCTGTCTTTCAGCTTGCTAATATTTATCCAGCAAACAAATGCATCTATACAGATCCGTTTACATGCAACAAATTTGAGTTTCATCTGAGTGGGACTATATAAAAAAAAGCAGCACACGTAAAAATGCAATATGAAAATATGCACTATATCATAATGAACCAGGGGAACATATCACTTGTCTTCTGTTGTATTGCTTCTTGCAATAACTGACATAACAATATACTAAAGTATAAAGAATAAAATCAGGCTTCTGGTCACCATTAAGAACAGTTTACATATCGCTGGTGATCATTGTAATCAACTGTGTTTCTTTTTTCATCGTCAGCTCTCGCCGTTAGGTTTTGCTTTTCTAACTACAAATGGAGCAAATCATTCTGTATTTAATATTTTAGAGAAATATATATTGTTCTACCTGCAATTGAAAAGAATTAATCTAAGCTTAACATAATTTCTTTACAAATACTTCTAAAACAATAACATACCTAATTAAATCATTTTAAACTCATTTCATTCCAAGAAAGGCAATGAAGACACTACGATGCCACGAGTTACTGAGTGCAAGAGAATATGAGAAAAAGAAAACGTTATTAAGGAAAGAGAACAAAAAAAAAATTAAAAGGAAGATAATTATTGACATTGAATTTAAATTATTGAACATCAAAATCGACTGAAAAGCAAGATGCCAGAAGAAGTACGAGAAAAGAAACTGCTAGCATAGAATTTACGGTCGCATCCATCCATTTCAACTGTAAAATGATGAAACCTTTCTGACAATCTAGTAATACAGCTAAATTCATAAATTACAATCATAATTATAATCAGAACAATTACCATGCAAATATTCATAGAAATAGCACAAGAATGTTACGGCAGTTGGAAAGGGAGTGAAGCCGAGATGCCAGGTCAGGACAAATAACATTTCAGATTCGTCTTTGTATTATATCAAGAATCCCCAAATACATAGCAGAATCACTAGACTAGATGCATGGACGAATGGTAGATTTATAAATGTGTAAAATAGATTCTGGCGAGAATAACTGACTAGCACGACACAGTGAACCGAATGTTCTAGCAACAGATCTGGCAATTTATTTAATATAACCTTTCCTCTTCATATCAGCAGAAAAAGTTAGCCCGCTAAGGCGCAATGAGTCACTCTCCTGTATGTTCGCATCAACAATGCCAATAGAAGCGAAAAACAAAATTCCTCTAAGACAATCAAAAGAGAACAGCTTTGTTTTGGAGTCGTTAAAATTAACAAGTCATTTCTTGCCCCATGTAACAACAGATTCTAGGTATACATTTTTTTAGATCAGCTGCCAATTTAATTTTATGAAACCGATTTGTTTTACCATTAAAACTGGAATAAGTAGTGTGCCATCAGATACCGAGTTGAGGACTGATGTCACCAGGAAGGTTGTTGATGAAAATTAGGAACAATGTAGATCCAAGGATAGAACTCTTTAGAACACCTGCAATAATGTCTAGAAGAGTGGATGTTGAAGATAACTTTTATTTAGCGATATAATGAGAAAAACTGAATTAGATTAAAACTTCGTCCTTTCAACTTGTGAAGAAGACCAGCATTCTAAACCATGTCAAATGCCGTCGAGATATCCAAAGCAACAGCCAGAGCTTCACTATTCTTATTCAAAGCTTGGCAGATTCTTTCAGCAATAATCGTTAATACATCGGTAGTTGACCTAAAGAAGCAAAATCCATATTGCTTATCTGAAAGAAGAACCTGCGAGATGAGATATTTAATCAATTCAGAATTGACTAAAGCCTCTAGTAATTTGCCAAAATGACGTAGAAGACATACAACCGAGAATTAGAAGGATCAGATGGTTTGTCTGGGTTATTAAAGACTGGAACTACAGAAGATTTCCTAACAAGCAGGAAAGCAAGAAACTACAAGGAATTTATTGTAGAGTTTTAGAGGGAACAGGAGCCACGTCAGGGACACATTTCTTAACGATTATTGCATGGGTAACATCAAGTCTACATCATTTGTGGGGGTCCAGTTTAGAGATAATAGCAAAAACCACAGATGGAATTATATACATATCATACACTAGAGACTCAGTTCTAATTAGAAAGTCAGGAAAGTATATTCTAGATGAGTCAAGAGTAGAATTAGAAGATAATTTACGGTCAAAACACTCTACATTATCAGCAGAAGATGATAACAGTTTATATTGAGTGAAGAGAGGAAGGATAGAAAATTTACTTTTATTTAACACACTATTATAGAGTCGCTAGTTGTCACGAGAACCAAACTTGTTAGATGTTTTACGGTGCCTCGTTCTGTCAGCAAACAAATACTAGCTTCTTTGAGGACATATTTACAATTATTACGTGCGGACACAAAGATATGTCCACTGTAATGAGAACTATCACATTGGTACAGCCGGAAAAAGTGATTCCTATGGACTATAACTGAACAGACAAAGAGAAGATTGTGGTTTCACGTAGAATTGTTCGAGAAGGTCCAAAAGCATCTATATCTATGCCAGCAAAATTCTCAATAGGAAGTTTAAAAATATCAGTCCAAGGGGCGTTTTGAAGAAAGTCATGAAATAATAGGCTAAACTTGAAGGAGGAATTTACTCTATTATCTGTAATAATTGTGACTACGAATACTTAGGAGAAACCTCAAAAAAATTAAACAAAAGATTATATGAACATAAAAGGGTTCTTTTACAACACAACACACTCAATGCATTAGTTGCTCGCCGTAGTGACTGATCATAATTGTGATTTTAAAAAATCCTCTAATTAAAAAAGGATGCGATTTACTAAAACAAGAATGTATAGAAAGTGCTTTAATCGCTAGATCATCCACTGTCAGTTTACGTCCAGCTTCTTACAATATTTCACCGTTCTTGGCAAATTTTCTATTATCACAATATGGAATATTTAATAGCATAAACTAAAAGAAAAAGTAGAAGTAACTAAATGAATTGCCCAAAACACACACACACACACACACACACACATATATATATATATATATATATATATATATATAAAACTTAAAATTCTTAGTGTCACCTCTCCTTTGTGCTCACGTGTAGTCGCATCAACGTAACAATCACTCTAGTCCCATGAAGTCCTAAAGAACGAAACGAGTCACATGAAAATTTCCATTTTCCGTTTTTCCATATTACCTTGAATATCTAATCATTTTGCTCTGAATGTTCCTGAGAATTTACAAACAATATCTGACTCAAGTAATTAAAGATTTTTTTTTTTAAGCATTACGCCCCGAGCAAGGCGTGAAGCCACTAGGATGCAGGGGGTTGCGGAAGATTTGGAGCGAGAGCGGATAGGAGTGATAGAAGAAAGGATAAGGAGAAGGATAGTGGGTAGATCAAGGTAACTGGATGTGTCGATTGACATTACATTTGAATAGTTGGAGATTATAGCTTTCAGGGAAACAGTAATTGGGAAGGGTGTTCCACTGGCGAGTGGTGCGAGGTATGAAGCTATTGGAGTAGAAGAGACGGCTACATTTAAAAATTTCTATAGTGTAAGGGTGGGAGCGCGATGCCAGCCTCGTAGGGCGCTTGAATTCATGGAGTCTGGGAACCAGTGAAAGCAGCTCATCGGAGCAATTACCATGGAAGTATTTGTAGAAAAGACAGAGAGAGGCGACGTCGCGTCTGTGAGATAGTGACTGCAGACGAGACGCCAAATCAGGGCCAATTAGATTACATATCCGTCTCTGGATCTTGTCAAGAACTCCGAGGTAAGCAGAAGGTGCAATACTCCATGCAAGGGCGAATGGTTGTTTTGTATATTTGAAGTATAGATTCAGGGGAGAAAAATTTCCTGGCGCGGCACAGAGAGCCAACTTTCCTCGCGGTGGAAGAAGCAATTGACTCAATTTATTTGTTCCATCTCAGGTCAGCAGTCAGCGTGAGACCGAGCAGACGCAGGGAGTTGCTCTCAGGAAGTTGACTATCAGACATTCTAATGGGGGGCAGGGAAGGATCTCTATGGTGGTTAATGGAGAGTAATTTAGTTTTCGAGGCGTTAAAGTTGACCAGCCAATTCTTGCCCCAGTTAACAACCGATTGGAGGTCCATTTCAAGACGCACGGCCAAGTTAGTTTTGTCGCCGACACTAGATTTGTTTTTGAGGCAGGAGTAAATTGTAGTGTCGTCTGCGTAGATGCCAACTTGGGAATCTATGGCGTCAGGAAGGTCATTGATGAAAATAAGGAAAAGAGTGGGGCCAAGGATGGAGCCTTGGAGAACACCTGCGTTCGTGGGATAGGAACTGGAGGAGAATCCGTTGAGAACGACCTTCAATTCTCGGTTTGACAGGAATGATTGTATTAGATCAAACAGTCGACCAGTAATACCATAACCCTGGAGCTTACGAAGAAGTCCGGCGAGCCAAACCCTATCGAATGCTTTGGAGATGTCTAGGTCCACGACACGAGCCTCACCGTTATTTTGAAGGGCTTGGTAGACGGTTTCAGTGATGGCCGTAAGCACATCAACTGTAGATCGGGCGTAGCGGAAACCCTATTGCTTGTCTGAGAGCAGATTATGGGATGTAAGGTGATTAACCACTTCGGCATTGATTAGGGCTTCGAAAACTTTGCCGAAGAGGGGTAGGAGACTAATAGGACGGTAATTAGAGGGGTCAGAGGGGTCTCCAGAGTTCTTAAACACAGGAACAATGGATGAGGACTTCCAGCAGACAGGAAAACAGGATTCCTTGAGGCAGTAATTATACAGTTTAGAGAGGGCGGGCGCTAGCTCAGGCGCGCATTTCTTCAAGACAATGGCTGGTATGCCATCTCCACCACTAGCCTTGTGGGGGTCTAACCAATGACGGGGTTATGTGTAAGCCGCTCAATCGGGCCTCAGTTCTTGGAGGGAAGTCTGGTATGGGTACACCGGTGGAGTCGAGCGTTGAATTAAATGAGAATTTCCGAGCAAAGCATTCAGCCTTGTCGGTAGAGTAGGTCAAGACCTCGAACTGGTTGAATAAAGACGGTATGGAGAGTTTTCTATTGTTCCGGACACTCTTGCAGACCCGCCAATAATCTTTGGAGCCAAATTTGCGAGATGCAATACGTTCCTTCATCCGAACAGCAAATATTGACTTAGCTTCGTTGAGGACACGCTTACACTCGTTACGGGCGGAGGCAAAGAGACGTCTATTGCAGTCCGACATGTCGCTACGAAATGTGTGAAAGAAGTGATTCCTATGGGCAATGGCGGCTGAGCAAGCAGCGGAGAACCAAGGGGAGGAGTGCGACTTGACCTTAAATTTCCTAGAGGGGATGAAAGCGTCGATTCCAGCTTTAACCTAGGATGAGACCTCGGAAGCACATTCTTGGACAGGGAGTGTAAAGACAACATCCCAGGGGACATCGCGGAGGAAGTCACGGAACGAGTCCCAATCCGCTCGTTGATAGTAGAACGAGATTCTAGTGATGGGAGGTTCTTTGCGGGGTGTGGAGTTGAAAGAAATGTTGAGAGATACCACGGCGTGATCGGAGTTACCAAGCGGGCAGAGCTGTGTGGCGCTACAAGATTCGGGGATGGAGGTAAAACACAGATCGAGAAGAGAGGTCTTACCTGCCAGGTTGAGGGCAAAACGCGTGGGGAAGTCGACTATCTGCGTGAGGGATTGAGAAATTGAGAAGTTAAGTGTTTGAATTCCAGCCCGGTCAGTAGTAGCATTCTCGAGCCACTTGGTGATGGGTGTTAAAGTCACCAAACACGAATATATGAGCAAACGGGTGGAGAGAGAGGGCCTTGTCTATGCTGTCATATATGCTATCTAGTATCCCACAGTCTTGAGAGGATGGAGAGCGATAGAGGAAGAAGAGATTGCTTACGGCATTGAGGAGAGATAGTCGGAGACACATGTACGAAAGGTCTGGCGATTCGAGAGACAACTCTCTGGCCAGGGGGAGATGGTCCTTGACATAGACACCAAGGCCGTGCATGTGGGTTAAAGAGTCTTTCCTGAAGAGAGGAAGGTAGCCGGGGATCGAGAGATCTGAGGAGGGAATAGACGAGACAAGGTTTGTCTCACACAGAGCCAGTATATCCGGGCAGTTTGCAGTGAGGAAAGATTCCATACTGCAGAAGTTTGTTCTAATGCCACGGATATTGGAGAATGAAATGTTGAGGGGTTTAGGTGATCTTAGAGGGGCTGGTTTAGGTTTACTTTTTTGGTTCATTTGAGTCTTCATGTTGAGTAACTGTTGGAAGATGAGAAGGCCTGAAGTAAGAGAAGCAGATGGTTATCGACCGCAACATGAGCAGAGAGGAGTTGGCACAGCCTGCATCATAATGTGGCCTCAGGGTTGCCCACCGGAGGTGACTGCAGGGACACCGTTCCATGCGCGTCATGGCACTACAAACATCCCGGTATTATACAACTGTTGATCAGAGCGGCCGCTCAAGACGCTACGCAAGAGTTAGGGGTCCTAACTACCAGTCGGAAACAGCAACCAGTGAACTGTCAACCGTGTACCCTCAAAATGAAGAGGCAATGCCACAGACTGCGCACGTCACGGGAGAAACACATCAGTACTAGTACAGAGGCAAGAGAGAGAGAAAGATGACACCAAACTAAGCTTTACTTGATTTCTGTGTAAATAAAAATAAACTTTACAAATAAAATTATGAACTGGATAATATTACAACTATAAACATTATTATATACTCAATATACTCATTCTGAAGCCATTCTTTTGTAACTTATATCGTAAATGGTATATTTTATACTTGCAAAATATGAACATTTCCCATTCTGTAGTTAGTTTTACTGATATTACCGTCGACATCTAAACATTTTACATTGGCTTGAGATTTGTTTTAAATGTAACAAAATCCGGATGAAACAATATCTCCATTGGAAGCGACATTCTCTTATTCTATATTATTGGTAGCTGATAACTTACCATCACAGTGAGGAAGGGTACCAAAGTTACCATCTTCATTACATGTAAGTTGTTGGTGATATTTAAATTGAGTACCTCGGAGAAAGTACCCTGGATTGCAAGAGACATTTATTGAATGGCTATAATAGATTACACTCGATGAGATAATTTCAGCATTGACGATCGTTGGCCGGGTACATTTTCTGGCTGCAAAGACAAATATTAAATACACGTAATGTTGGGAAAAAATTAATTGGTAATGTAAAATTAACAATAAATCCGGAGATAAAATTATTGTACATGTATATGTAAGAACGTGTAAAAATATCAATTATGTCTCAATTATAAATAACAAATGCGTAAAATATAGCTTATTTTTCACGATGAGTATAAAGGAAACGAACAATAGATCTTGTTAATAAGAAACTACATTTTCTTACGTTCACAGCGTGGAGGAGGCGACGACCATAATGATGAAGCATTACAAACAATCGATTTATCTCCAGTTAGCCGAAAACCTTGATGGCAGGAGAAAGTCACAATAGAACCATAATTATTACTGTCACTCTCCAGCATATCTAGCATTGACGTAGGAATCAACTTTGAACACGTAATTTCTGTAATTAAGAAATTATATATTAATACATCAAAACAAATTATAATTCTATTGTCGAACATATCAAAATTCATTTGAATTGTAAGATCTTAGTAAGGCGAAAACACTTCTCGAAATATTAATTTTCTGTTTTGATACAAAATTATCAAGTAGTATATTATAAGAGGAGACTAATAAATTATGTAAGTCAGCACGTCTCTCTTTCTACTATATATGGACACTTAAAATTATTTTTTATAATCTAAGGGAGAAAGTAATTCTGGTGCCTAATGGCGTTTAAACCAAGAAAAATCTCGAAAATTTTCTTTCCTTGAAGCAGCTCCGTTCTTTCAGTTTGTGTGAATATTATCGAATCTCCTAAAATGATTGAGTGAAATTGACAACTAGTCATTAAGTGAAGTGACAAGTGACATCTAGACAAGTATTATCATCTTCTGTTTCAGCCTTTCTTCTTTTTTCTTCTTTGTCACTTTGGCAAATTCATTGTTTCATACAAATGTATCGTCACTTCTGCAGCTGTAACCTTTTTTTTTTTGGTAATATACAACGAATCAAGACATTCATACATCATTTAAAATACAGTTATCCAACAATGTTATATATAATTTCACTTTAGACATTCCGTTTTTCATCCAGGGAACTGCATATTCTGGTCGTAAGTCTAAATTAATGGCAAATATCTACAGACTGCATACGATTCTCGAAAGGGAAGGACGTTAACAAAAAAACAAGGTCATTATTCAGACATTTCCAAATATTTTTTAATCGGAACAAGTAGCAGGGTTAGTTAAAAGTTTGATGCCAACACAAGTCAATAGATATTCAATTTTACTGACTGTTGGAAGCGTAACTGTAAAGAGTAATATAAAAATCTATTTACTTACTTGTGCACGTTGGGATTTGAGACCAGCGTCCATCAGCCTGACAAATGGTGTTTGAGCCGTGCAAATTAAAACCGTTTTCGCAGCGGTAGATGACGTGCGATTTGTATGAGACGCCGTCACTAGATGCCAACACAAATCCATTGGCTAAAGCTGGAGGACTCCCACATGAAATTGCTAAAATTAGAATGTGCACAAGGAATTATAGGAAATACGTTTGGCATCATTGACTTTAGACTTATATTACTTCTGAAAATTATGTTTTGTATCTCAATTCACGTGCATCCAGTATGGGCGGTAAAATGCAACAGAAAATAAAATATCTAAAGTTGATGGACAGGAAAGTAATTAAAAGAAATACTGTTTTATTTGTCAATATTCGATTTGAAACCAATTTTCCTCTTTTTATTTACGGCAATAAAAACTTTTGTTCTTTCGGTAAGAATCGACTCAGGAGATGGTAAATTATAATGTATTTATTAATGCATTATGTAATTCTAGGAAGGTTGATCAGCGTCATGTAAATAAAATCATTTTTCTTTTCTACAAAATAATATTGAGAGGGCAGAAATCACGTATGAATATGGGCTTGTTTCAGACGAGAAGTGGGTTAGATAGAACTGGCCTGTTCTATACAACTAAACAGTAATATGAAAAACGTGATTGAATATTAGAATTATATGATGGGGATTATCAAAAGTATAAGGGGTGATCATTTCACAGGCAGGTTTACATTGTAACACGGATAAGCATAAATGTTTGATAGACAACAACAGCCCGTTGTCACGTAAGATGAATTATTTCGCTTTCTACAACGATCAACTGTTTAACTCTTATTTGAAAAATCTGCAAGAACTGTCCACATTCTCACGTACAGGCTATGAATCTGTAACACAGTTCTTTCGGTAAACCGGCACTAATTTCCACGAGAACAATTTCAGTTTACCCGAGTTTTTACATCAGCTGTTTTTTCAAACTTTCAAACAGTCATAAGTCAATGTTGCGTGTCTTCTTTTGCATTTTTATTATAACTTGCTGTCGTTTAACTCCAGGCCTAGCTACAATGTATACAACAAGAGCTTCTCTTATATTATTTACATGCGGAATATTGTTCTCATTTTTGTTGTTATTATCGCAACGTTTCAGTTTGCACCCCCGGTCATCGGATGCTCGTCAATCCGAGTAACCTTCAGGGAATTTTGAACTGAACCTTTTATTTAATCTACGGAGGTAGATTGTTCCGCTGAACATGTCTAGACGAGATATTCCATGATATGGCCGTAAGCCGAAGCGGAACGAGAAAAAACTACAGCTGTAAATTAAATGGTTCAGTTCAACCGGAGGGTTACCCGAATCAAGAAGCATCTGATGAGAGCGAAAACGTTGTGATAACAACAACAAAGATAAGAATAATGATCAGCATGTAAATAATGTAAATATGTTGTCCATAAAAATTATGAAAAAACTTGATAGCGACGTGTCTGTGTAGAGCTTATGTGATTTATACACCGTTGGCTCATACGCAGTTTATGACATCAAGAAATAGAAAAATCCGACATTACTTATTCGGTGCTCTCCAGGGCCTTGTGATGCCTGATTAATGATGCTCAACCTCTGTTTACTAAAATTACCGCTTTAAATAAAGTTATACCCTATTCTATGAAGAGTATATCTGAATAGTTTGAAGAAGATTGTGAAATTACATGAGATTATAAGCGAAAATATTAGTCCTGTAATAAACATTAAGGAAATTAAAAGGTTTTCAAATTTCAAAGAATTGATATTAAAACTTACGCAAACAGTGAGGCCTCCAAGTAATATTCCATTGACCGCCAATCATGCATGTCATGGGAACAACCTTCAGGTTAAAATAGGATTCTTTGAATTCGTAGCCCTCACTACATGAAACTTTTATCTGTCGGGAAAACCTTTGTGGGCCACCAAATCTGTTAAATGTTGTTATTGTTTTGACTACCAGACCATCTTCTTCAAATTTACTACAGTCTACAATGAAAGAAAATAGTTATAAAAATTGCAGAAATAGCAAAGTGTCAGGTAAATGAAAACCCGGTACATTAAATTTTTCCATACACGAATATGGAGTGAGTAAACATGTCATTTACCTGCTAACTTAATTATCAGATGGCTAGTTCAATCTGCCACCAGATTCAAATGAAACAGAAAAATGTAAAGGAAAATATCATAATTACTGAAATAAAACGTTTGTTTTCCCACAATATGTTTTAAAAAATTAAAATATTACTTTCACTCTAATATGTTGGTGTTATAGATAGGGGGCTGATCATTAAAATCTTGTGCTGTACAAGTAAGAGGTGAGCAGCAGTCATAAAATTCCTTTGTAAGATAAGCGTGTTATCGATCACTAAATGTGGTCATTGTTTTTCACTAAAGAGGAAAACGCTATATTGGTAGTGAGAAATATTTTTTACAGTCTATACATATACTGAAGTATCTACAAAGAAAAATATGTGTCTCAGTTAACGAAACACCTATTATTTTATCGTCCGTAAATGTCAAAATCATGCTTTCTATATAGAGTGATATAAATTTTGCCAGGAAGGTTAAAGCAAAATTTATGATTCAGAACTCGACCTTCTTCTTGCTCGTAAAATTTAAGTTAAATGCTTAAATTTTATTTAAATTCAATTTATTAAGTTTTGTAAAAGTTTTTATATTTATATTTAGCAAGTCATATTATATTAAAAAGAGACAAGCATATCTAACGCGAATAATGGCATAAGAATGTGAGGGGAAATTGATTTTAAAATTCGTATCACTTCATCAACTCTCAAAATGCTATGAACTAATATATTTGGCACTTATAAAACAGCGAAGAAATGTCAATCTGACGTTGTCTGACCGTAGTATTATATCAAAGACCTAGCAAGACAACGGGATAACCAGTTTCATTCACAGTTTATCTATGCAAATTCTTATAATACTCTTAAGATGCAAGAAAAATTAAACCTGGAATTCTTTCCTATAAATAATTGTTCACTTTTATGAGACTAGACAAATATATCCTTAACCTAGCACATGCTTAATTTAGCTGAATTTTCATCTGAAACATTCAATGTATGGAATTAATATTCACTGATTGCTGAAATATTATAAAAAATAAAATTTATTATATAAAATAAATGTTTTTTTCATGATTGAACCATGGAATTATTGATGCACTCCCGAACCTCTATTTTTATTGATTTTCTGAATATTGTTTATCGAATAGTAAAACTTTTGAACGTAAATAATAACAGATGAGTTTTACCCTTCTTTGTAACATTTGATAAATACCTAAATGTTAATTACTGAATGGAAAATTACTGAAATGCTGGCTTTAAGCCAAGTTAGCGTTTTCTCGTCTTTATTGATGAATAATTAATGACACAATTTCCGGTTTGTGTGTGAAATTGCTTAAAAAAAAATTCGGTAAATATAGTCGTCGAAGACAAATGTTGCCAGTTTATACGATGATCTCTTCAAGTCGTCTAACAAAAGTAAACATTTTTTTTTATCACGAGCAAGGTTTATGAACAAGTTTATCACGAGTAATATTTATGTACCTCCACAGAAATGCAATAAATTTTTTAAAACGAAAAAGGCTTTTATTTTAATTTTAATTTCTAGCTAATAGGTTAAATTTAATATTTCCAAAACACTTTTCTGTATTTCAAAACTAATTTAAATTGACTTGGAAGAAGTTTATATTTTGAAATTATAAAAGTAGCTGAGTTTAGTCATCTTTCATCATAATGTAATTCTCCTTATTTAAAAAAATCTTTCAAAAATAAAATATACATTTCTGAAACTTTACTTGAGGAATATTAGCTAATTTAAAGAATAATTTAATCTGATTTGAAACATATATTACCTACTTTAAGATTAAAATATTGAAGAAATGCATTTTAACACGTCGGTAGTTGTTTATTTAAGATGTTGACAGCTTGAATGATAGACAGAAGTTTATCTAATTTTTTCTACGGTCGACGTATACTTGAGGAATATAACATTAGCGCCCTTTTTATATAATTTTTAACTGCTCAGTAATCTTAAAAACTTAGTAAAATATTACCCGTAATCTAACGTTTTAGTTATCGCTCTTATTTTCTTATAATGTCGTGTATGGACGTCCGTATTTACATAAGTCGGTACGTTTTTACACACACACACACACAAAATTCATTTTTTTTTAAATATCTATGAATTGTAGTAAGCGTTTCCATTTATGATTAGTAAATATAGTTTGTACTTAATAACAATATCACCTGTCCTAACCCCTACAAATTAATGCAAAAATTTAGAAGATTTAACAATTTTAAAATTTTTTTTATAAATATCATGGAATATCTCGTCTAGAACAATTTGCCTCCGTAGATTCGATAAAAGCTTCAGTTCTAATTTTAAAATTTTTAAAAAAGAAAACAATTCTTATAAAATTACATTAAGCGGAATGTTTTTCCTACTAAAGACAATATATTCATAAAAGCAATTAAAAGCTTTTCTAATTAAATAATGTCTTAGTTTTATGTAATATTTTATTTTACGATTCAGAGCAGATTTTCGGTAACTGGGGCTCCTGTTTTACGAAAAGAATTGATTCAAATTCTCCAAGGAGTTCTGTGTATAACTAATATAAACATTAAACGGTGCAAAAATTAATCTCGCAATTTCAAAAAATTAAATAAGTGGGGGGGGGATAACAGATGTAAAAAATGTTTTATAAAATTTATTTATTTGTGAATAAATCCTGAAATTTTCTTAAAATTCGACAATTATTTGACTTTTGCAAGAATTTCCAAATCAATGTGGTTTTCGCCACGAAAAAAAACGCTAGAATTTCCTTTGATCCTCCTCCCCCACCTTCCAACGCAAGAAAAGATTTTAAACTAAAATTCCAGACGTTCTGAAAAAGGTCAAAAGTATAATTTAATAATAAAAAAAGATCCTTTGATCTTTAGTCTTAATAATAATTTGGACGATAAAACTTTGCTTTTAGTTTAGGGTATTTTTAGCGAATCTGTGGAGGTACCTAAATTTATGCATAAGTCTATCACAAGTAAGGCTTATGAATTAGTTTATCACGATTAAGGTTTATGAATAAAGTTGAATGAATTCTAAAATACTCTACAAGTAAGCTTAAAGTTGCCTAAGTTTACTTTAATTAAACACAATTGTAATTTCAATGCGTCGCAGGAGACATTGACATGGGCGCGCGTATTTCTTTTGAAATTAAGTTAATATCACAAACAAAATGTCATCTTATTTGACGTTAAAATATATACATTGATAAATGTTTTGAGACAGTTGTCGACGAGATTTGTGTCCATATTTCTGATGTATTAATAGGTTTTAAGATTTTTGGCATAATATTCCTTATTCAGATGTGATATACCCATATATATATTAAACAAACAGGCAAATTATATTATTCACAGAAAATGTAAAACCAAGAGGCTTTCCATCTTTACTACTTGCCTTGAGTGACAACAGCCTTAAACCCTCGATTTTTTAGGATAATGCTTGATTCAAATTCAAGTAACAGCAAACCATTAACTGATGTTGACATTGGTGGCACATGATGTCCCGTATATCTTCCCAGGATGCTTGTACCGTCAGTTACCTGAATTAAAATATTTTAGTTAATTAAGTTACAATACCACGTCGATATCAAATGTAATTTTACTATGAACAGTTTCACGTTTAGACATATTTTCAGATTATATTGATTAATAAGAATATATATCCTAATTTTAATTTATTTCGCTACCGGTTTGAAATATATATTAATAGAAAACTAGTAAAACCTGAGTATTCCATATTGTTTTTTATATATATATATTTTTCCTTAACCATTTTTCAAAGATCTGATAACGTGATTCGGAATTCGAAAAGATTAAGTTCACACAGTACAATCTAAACAGCGTTGAAACGTAAAGTTCGAAACATCCAAAAGTAACATAAATGTTGCTTTGTTTATTTTTAGTGATGCAAAAAATTAAATAAATCAAAAGTATTAAACGTGCCAACAAGTCAATACACTGACAACTTATTTCATGAACCACTGAGAATCATTTTTTAAATGACTGACTTACATAGAGCACATCGTTTTACTTTATTGAATGAAATTTCAAACGACATTCAACAAAATTTGGTACTTTAAAAAGGGAATAATACATTTGGTACAAATTACGATTTAATTCACGATAAATAAATTATTGAAAAAAAAAACCCAAAACAAACGCTGACAGAAATGCATATGTTATTCTGATTGATTAGTTATGTAAAGGATTGTAATTTAAAATATACCCCTCCCCCCTCTTCCTCGGAGCTATTAGGTTTCCCTGTAGAGTATAGGGGCAGAGCCACACCACATGGGTATGACGTTGTGGTTTCTGTAGCAAAATAGGTTCTTACAGTGTGGAGTTAACAGACCTACGCACAATCGATCTTGATTTCAGAATTGTCCTTCTCCTAGACTGGTTGCCAACCAAGACTAGAGAGCTCAATCTACCCTCTTATTTAACTTGTAGTTAGCAGGAGAAAATATGTATTCATACCTTTCCGAAGAGTATTTGTGCGAAAGTGAGCGACCGGAATTTGAACTTAACACGCCGATTCCACTTTCCGTGTCAATAGCTGCTACACTACACACATATCCACATATATACTTTACGAATGATAAAATGCCAAATAACCCACACGAAAATGGTTTGACAGTCTCAAAACATTATGTGAATGATAAGAATTCTCGACAATTCAGTAAATTAAATACAGGAGGAATCTTAACTGAAAAATGCCAAAACCTACAGAAGTGAAAAAATAGCCATCTTGTAAGACACATAATTCGAAAATATGTAAGTAAAGGATGTCCATTTAGTGTTAAAAAAGCAAATTGTTGTAAGACTGAATAGATGTCGCTGGAAAACGGTGTTACTGTGTCCATGCAGACGCAAACTCATGTATTTAAAATGTATTGAAAGTTGAGAAATCAACAATAAATCATAAAATCAACCAAATTACAATCTTTTAATTATTTATTTACATATTTTTATTAGACAAAACTTTTATTTTAGAATTAGAATTTTGTATAACCAACCTGGACAAAGTCAGCATCTTCTAAACTGAAATCTATAAAGAAAATATGGATGGGCGGATCGTCTGGCTTTTTCGTTGTTAATTTCCACCTGCAATGGATATCGTTCGGGTAGCGACTTTTACTTGGAATTAAGAAGTTGTATCCCGGGGACGTAATGTTGCTGAATGGTGATTCAATCTGAACTTCACAACCTAGAAGAAAAAAAAAAACAACTATAAATTAATTTCGTAACATATATCAGGAGTTAATTTTTAATCTCCGTAAGTAATGAACTTTTACTTGAAAAATAAAAGCAATAATATGTTCTCTGACTTTAAATGAAAGTTTCCTGAAATAAAGTGTACATTTAACTTAGTTTAAACAAATGTAGTCTTCTACAATAGCAAAGGTAGCTATCTCCTCCTCTGCACCAAAACCAGAAATTTTGATGAAACCACCACACCACTAGGGCCCAAAATAGAACAGTCCTTTGAAAACGCCTTCCAAAATAGGAGTGTTGTTACTAAAGGTATTGAATCATAAAAGTTAATTAAGAAGTGGTACAACTGATTACATAGAGGCAATGACAGAAAAGCAATTGAGAAGGAACTGTTCTGGACTGTAGACGCTAGGATATGGTTCTTTTATCCTATCTCTTGAGAAGTAGCAGTTTTTTTACGCAAAAATAAAATACTGGCCAACGATATTTGAATTTATTTTCTAATCTAAGTAAATGAATATTTCTAACAAATCAGAAAAGAGAAATATATTATTGTCCAATCAACAGGAGGTAGTTTATCTAAATGGTTTATTTTTTTCTGAAGCCTATTTACACCTTTCATATTTATTGATTTTTTTTCGAATATGGAATGGTAACCTGCTTTTCGAGCATATTTTCCTGTTGTTGATCCTCGGATCAGCATTTTAACTTCTTGGCTATGGGGAATATTTGCAATTGACTCGCTGCTTCAATAAAATATTTTTTCCACATACAACACAGTCAACAGTTGTTAGTACACGGTCAATACGACATACAATAAGAGTGTATGCAGAAGCAAGTACTTACAACAATTTTCTGTTTATTCTTTGTACAAATATCATTTGCAAGTTTCAATTACTTGCACATTACAAATGTAGTTTTTAACCTTTGAACGCTGATAACAAGGTACGTTATTTAATAAAATTGATATTGTTATAACTTCAATCTCATTGTCTTCAAGTTTTGTCTATCTGACTGAAATTATGTTTTCAAATAATTCTTAGCTTCGACAAAACCTTTTATAAAATGTGCATCACTTTCTCTTATGTGTAGATAAGTTGAAGGGAAGTAGTATATTCACATTTTATACAAATATATATCAAGTGTGAGCCGTAGAACTTGACTTTGTTGTTTGATATTAACGTTTGTTTTGCATTTGATCCACAAACACAGACATATATAGAGTTAAATATCAAATATTAAGAGAAAGCAAATTTACTAAAAATATGATTTATACATCTGCTAGTAAGGTGATTTTTTACTTACCTTCTATGAACTGAATCCCAAATCCCCCTTTGGAAGCATTTTTAGAAGTATAAAGACAAATATACACATGTTTACTATTTGAGACTAAAATCGTTGGAACATTTGAAGTGGTAAAATTTGCTATGACGTTAGTCAGTGCGTCGTAGCTAACCTCCAGGTAGCCTGCCTTCCCATCTTCCAATTCAAGAAGTATAAGCTGGAAAGAAAGATATTACAAAATAATTCAATTAAATTTTTTATCCGTATTAAGTAATAAACATTTTATGTTAACAGAAAAGAAAACTGCTTTCAAACTTTTCTCCATACATATTTGATTACCAATGATTTAAAAAGAAACTTTCAAGCTAAAAATCACTTACATACATAATTTGTTGAACGATTGTACAATACATTCCTGAATGCCATTAACGCTGTCATTCCTATTTAGTTTGTTTTCATAGTAAAAGTGCAACAGCAGAAAGAAAAAGACATCAGATTTTGCTTGCAGTACATATTAAATAGCAAAGATCCACTGCAAACTAGTAAATCTTTTATTAAATAAATGTTAGTTAAAGCAACAAAGGGAAACTGCGTAAAAAATCCGAGTCATATATAAAATTAAAATATTTGAAAATTTCAAAGCTAATTATCCAAAGTTTCAAAGTCAACTGAAGATAAAATCTTGAATATACAACGAAGATGCCATTAAATATCGAATATCTTTTGAAATCGCTGATTGTTAATCAAAACAAATGAAAGGAACCGTTAACAGGAGCAAAGTAGAGGAAATCTCCGTTTGCATAAAGTATGAAGTACAAGAATAAGTGGACCGCGTTCATAGTATGTCCTATTATTATTAAGAAGTGTTGTAGTTGCACATCAAGGAATCGGCATATTAAGCTGAGGAGAAAAATAAACAGTCGTAGGATGTCATTAAGTACCTAAATGTAAAAAGCAACAAATTTAATATTTGTTCGGAATCAAGTTAAAAGACAAGTCACCTAAACTAGTTGATGCTAAAAATCTCACATAAATTGTTTTACTCCCATTTTTATGATTTTTATAATTTTTAATTATTGGTCTGGGGAACAATGAAAAATTTAGAAAGTATAAATTATAATAATAGTAAAAGAATAAATTTCAAATAGGATTCCACGTAAATTTACAACGATGTAAAATGGCGAATTCTTTGTCATTGAAGCTTAAATAATTATCTTTGACATGTTTTCTAACTGATTGTGCATCATGTGTCAAAATTACGATGCATCATTCTAAAGAAGGTGAAATGCGTTGTTTCCAACGACAGTTAAGTAGAACTGTGATCGAGCTAAGAACATTAACATAATCATTAACAATATCTAAGTGGAGTAAACAGAACTTTTCAGTCCCCAAAAATCGTGATGAAAATAAAATATATTGGCTACTTACTTCCATAGTAATGATTGGAGCTGACGCAGCTTCGATATGCCAGCACTGTACCAAGTTAGCTAAAAGTATTGGATAAAGAGGAGAGAGAAGTGTTTTCAATGTGTTGCCTGCTTTTAAATGGATTGTACGTGGTCCAAGGCCCTTGATATCTGCAAGTAACAAAAAGTATTTCAGGTCGTATAAGTAAATTGATTTTGAAATAGCACTAACGATGTCGTCCATAAAATTAGATGCACGGCTTGTTCATGCACGCGTAGGGGAGGGAGAGGTGGGGTGAGAGGGCAACAAATAAAATTATCTGCCAGAGTATTACGATCTGGGAGGAAACACGTGTTATACATTTGCATACCTGGATAGCATAAGAAAATCATTGTCAAAAATTATTTCAGTAGGCACAAACCCAGATCATCCATACAAAAGGTAGACTTCAAGTTCTCCATCTTCTATACTCATATAAGGCGTCAACAGTTTTCTATAAACAAACTGAACTACATCTTCAAAAGATCAAAACTAGCCTTATGTTCCTTTCTGAAACTGGGCTCATCCAGTCTGATCCTGTTCATCAGCATATGATCCCGGGTTACTCACGTCTACTCACAAAAGGAGACACTCTCATTCGCCATGACCATGAGGCCTAGAATTGTGACAGAGAACTGTGTCAGAGACCTTCAAAATTAGGATCCTGAAATTCCATTCATATGCTTTCGCCTAGCTTTCGTTCATAGTAATGTCCTTTATATCTTCATTATCTATCGTCCTCAGAATGATGATATTGTCATGATTGATAAAATAGCTGTGAAAATTGATAACACATCCTCTTAGATTGTTCCTCATCTACTATTTATATTTATGGCGATTTCAATATTCCCCATAAAGAATGGTTAGTACACACAAACATAACTGACGAAGAAGGTCAATATTGTCATGACTTGTCTAATGCATACCAGCTGACCCAACTCATGTTCTCAATATAGATGCTAACCTACTTGACATCTCTCTCACCTCATGTACTGGCCAATGTTTTTTCTTGGGTACTTCACAGTACTAATTGATCTATGTCAAAACTGATGTCAAACCAAATGCATCTTCTGATTTCCCGTTTCATAGGTCAATCTACAGATAGACCAAAGCTGACTTATATCGCGGAAACTCCTCTACCAGCATTCTTCGGAAATATATCTTCCAGAACAGCCTCCCTCATTTCCGAATATTCCGTAAAGTTTTATTCCATATAAAAAGGGATGATTACCCAACATTGGTTCACGCATGAATATGCTGCGGCTATAGCTCGGCGTAGCCACTACTATGATCTCTATCGGACGGAATGGTGCTCTTACCTCATTCAAAACTACCCGTAATCAGAGAGTCATGAAAATCCAAGGAGCAACTAAGGACAAGTTATCTAAGCCAAAGTTGAAAAAAAAGAAGAAAAAACAATTTCCGTAAAATGACAAAACATAATTCTCAATAGCGGTAAACCATCAGCTTAATTATTAATTTTTATTTCACGTGGCATAAACTTGCGATATCTCTTATTTCAAACCAGGAAGTTTCCACACTTAACAAAAGCCTCGACTCTACGAAAGCTACTGCTCCGGATAAAATTCCTGTACGTGGTCCAAGTTCTATCTGCAAGTAACAAAAAGTATTTTTGGTCAGAAATTAAGAGTCTTAGTTCAGAACTGTTTTTATTTTATTTTATTTATTTGTTACAGTAAACTCCACCCTGTGCAAGGATCCGGGACCACTCGTGGTATAGGGTTATGTTAGGAGGAGTTTGTACAGATAGGAAAGGAAGATAACGGTTAACCCTAGACTTGAATAGGTTAGGATTGTAGTGATCGGAGGTGTTTCCACCGAGCAGTGGTTCGCGAGAAGAAGCTGTTCGAGTGGAACTTACTTCTCACCAACGGAATACAGAGGGAATGGAGGTGGTTTACTACAATGTAAATGGAAGGCGGGTCCTTGACATGAAGGATATGCCTGGCGGAACCAAGGAATGTAGTTCGTCCGAGCACTTTCCGTGGAAGTAGCGATAGAGCAGTGAGAGGTTTGCCACATCCCGCCTGAGAGAGAGAGAGAGACATTGAAGAGTGGAAAATAAAGTAAAGGCAGATAACAGCCGTGAAGTCAAGCACCTACTGGGACAGTACAGGGAGCCGACCATTTTACCTTGTTCTTTAACGATGGCTCGTATGTTTAGGTGTGAGTTTAAGGCCCAATAGTCTCTCATAGGACGCTGCCTCTCCGATGGGAGATCCATTCATCGTGACTGGTAGTAGTTCTGGGTCCGATCGACGATGGTGGAATGTAACTAGTTTGGTTTTCGAAGCATTAATGTAACCAGCCAGTTTTCCCCGCTGTGTAGATCGTTTAGATCGGAAGAGAGCTGTCAATCTCCGATCATCAAGAGTTTTAGAGGTATACCGGTATATAGTCGTATCATCGGCTTAGATGTTTACAAATGATCTAAGAATATTCATAGACAGGTCATTTATGTAAATCAAAAAGAGAGCCGATCCGATGAATGAACCCTGGGAGACGCACGCGTTAATCACCAAGGCCCCGAAAGACTGGTCATTTATAACTGCCTTCAGAGACCTTCTTGTTAGGAAGGATTTTATAATCGAGAAGACTCTTCCAGTAACTAGACAGCTTGTGTAGCAATCCTTTGTGCCACACCTTGTCAAAGGCCTTAGAGATATCGAGGTGTGTTTATCGTTAAGAGCTTCACTAATTCTGTGAGTGATGGTAGTTAGGACGTTAGCTTTTGATCAGGCTGATCGAAACCCGTACTGCTCGTCGCTGAAAAGGTTTTCCTTCTCAAGATACTCGACGAACTTCTTGCTGATTATAGTCTCAAAGAGACTCCTGATGATACTGAGGAGATAGATGGATCTATACTGGGAGTGGGGAAGATCGCAGACCGCGTTCTTGAAAACTGAGCTTACGCTTGACACATTCCACATGCTTGGGAAGGATTTCTCCTTCAAGTAACGGTTGAATAACTTCGCTAGAATCGGGAATATTCTTAAGGATGACCACTAAGGTTTTATCTGGGCCAGTTGCTTTCTTGGAGTCAAGGCTTTTGATAAATCTTGAAAGTTCTCGTTCTGTAATGGTAATATTACTGAGATTGTGCTCAGTGAGATATTGGAAATTTGTGGAGGAGATGGCTTTTGTCGTCTAGTGTTGAGTTTGAGGCAAAGATCGAGGTGAAGACCTTTGCCTTGTCTGTCGAGGAATATATGATCTCGGGTCCATTTATAATTGTGCCGCTTTACCTCTGTTCGTATACCCAAACTTGGCCAAATCATTTCACCGCTGCCGGAAGAAGAAAGTGTTTTTTCATTTATGAAGTCTTTCCTATGAAATAGGTTCATGAAGGTTGTTATTAGCCGTTATGAAACCGGTGAGATCATTGCAGGTGTCCCAGAAAGCTCTCTCCTCAGTGTGACAATATTTAACATAGCGTACGGACGAAAAGGGTTAAAACAAAACGATTTTAAATTTTTTTCAGGATATGGGAACAGATGCATGAATTTTGTTGAAAAAGTCACACAATGTGATTGAGCTCGACACAGTTGGCAGGTCAGGGGCCAGAGGTTAAAGTCGTCGTCTGCTGAAAGGTGTCAATGGGAAGTTTTGGCTGACAAAATTTCCCTGAGAAAGAAAAAATTAAAAGCAGAAGATGACGTCAGAAAGGCTGGCATCATATAATGGCTCCTCCCGAAGGAGGAGGGGATCTTCCAAAATTGGAAATGTGAAACAGAAAACGAAAGAAAACGACTGGTTGAATTTTGGGAGATTTACATAAAACCCACCTATTCGCCCGCACCACACCAGTTGAAAGGGACACCCATAAATGCAAGTGTTCACGTGGGCCAAAGTTAGTTGGGGCTAGCCAGTTGTAGTAGCCGTTGCAGTCGCAGTGAGGTTGCGACCGGGAGTTAAGAGATTTCTGATATAACGCTGTTTGCCAACCTGATGAAAATAATAATAATAATAATTATCCACTGAAGAAAGACTCCGACAATAAACCCTGTCCCGTCCGTGAAAGTACAAACCACAATACTTGAAGTTAAATCCAGTTGTCGCTGAAGAAAGACTCCGACGATAAACCTTGTGTCGTTCTAGAAAGTATAAATAACAGTACTTGAAGATAAATCCAGTTGTCAAGTCTGGCCACCCTTAAAGAAGTTACCGAAATTTTCGTTCCGTCGCCAATTATTAGAACGGGTTGGGAAAAGAAGAAAAAGAAGAAAGAAAGAACTGTAAATATATATATATATATTTTTTTGTTATTTTGATATAAACATCATATAGTGACTTATTCAGGCGTCGTCCATTTTATTTTTCAATTTTGTGTGCGCGTGTTCAACTCCTTGATTTAAGCATGGTTGAGATACCCTAGTGGAAATTCGGCTTGACTCTCTTAAGATCAAAATCACAACGTGGGTAAGTGAGGTCACAGTTGAAGAGGTCAACTGCTGTGTCAAACGCCATCAACGACCGACGAGTGGGCTGACGGCTTGTTCTCTGATACCAGGATCAATCCTGACCAAGCGAGCAGACCGGGATAGACCCTGAACAACGTCATATTTGGAGTCCGTGACCAGGCCGTGGCCCTGAACACCGTCATATTAGTATTACCCTCTTTCTACTTCATATTAACGGTTTGCCAAAAAAAAAAAAATCATATATGCAAACAATACCAAAGGTTTATGGGTGCAATTAAAAAGATATAGATGGCCGGTGCCTGGTAGCTTTCATATATGGGAGAGAAACTGGCTTGGATAATTCAATACTTCCAAAATCAAATTAGTAACGTTTTCTCCAATCATGATGAACGGTTGTACTCTCAATAATGTTCCTCGCCTGGAACCTCGTTCTGGACTCAAGTTCACTCCAGACCCCGTGGAACTCGTATATACGATACTTCGTTGAAGATCCTGGGAAAATGATCGATTCCTTGTACCGCTTCAGAAACTATCTGACATACCCTACATTTACAAGAGTCAGACAAGACCAAAATTACCATATTTGTGAGGCAGCTGTCTAATGCTCACTTTCCAGCCTTGATAGGCTTTTCTGGGGTGATGAATTATGTTCCACTCTACAACTCAGTTACATACCTTTAGTTCCACCAGTCCAAACCTTCACAAGCCAAGGATTCCATTATAAAGTTAACTTCACGAACGGACCAGATGGCAAACTTTGACAGTGATTGATGGAGTCGGTAGAGAGTGCCGGCTAAGTGAATTCTGGGTGGCCAAAAGATATGATAGAAATTTAATTGGCAATATGGAATTCGTAAAAATTTTGGCCGATGGGAAAAAGGAAAATTTTGATAAACAAAAATTCAAGATTATAATTTTAAGGAGGCCAGCTTAACCGGGATGCCATTCGTCGAGTGGTGGCAACGGTGATAGGCGGAGGTGAATGGATGAGAATGACGGAGAAGTTATTAACGCCCACTGAAGAGATTGGTATGAGATATCAATATGAGAGAGAAAGAGTCTAGGAGGATAGCTCTCCTCCGACCTTCCCTCACGGACGACGGGGACCCCCAGCCCCGAAATCGAAAGTGATTTTCCAAAAAATGGGAAGTAATCAAATTTCCTGGCCTGACAACAAAGAGATTTCTTGTTAGAAATCGAGATTTACCGAGAACCCCAGGCCGCGTCTGGCCCACACCGGGCTTTGATTGGTACCCATATAAACGAACGTTCTCGGGTCGTTCAGAGAGTTCTGAGTTGCAGTCGCAGTTGAGCTAGTTTTGGAGTTAGAGTCAGAACTTAACCAGAATGTTGCCTCGCAGAAGCTGACCGAGAGATTCCATGACCTCCAACTTCGCCTATCTTACCAATAGCAAGTTATACTAACGAACGAAGCCAAGCCAACACCTAAGAACCAAATCAGTTGACTTAAGATACCAACTTGCTTGAAACATAGAAGCATCACATTTCGTAGAAAACGGGCTGGGAGAAAAACACACTCCTGTATATAATAAAAGGATAAAGTTAATTTGTTATTTCTTAACATACTTGAACCTCTTGGGTTTTTCTTTTATTTATTTATTTTCTACACTACGGCCCGACGCCTGATTGATCTCGTCTACCTAAGATCAAAGTCACAACGTGGGTAGGTTAGAGTTGAGATCGAAGCAGTTACTCCAGTAACCAGACATTGCAAGTGAACTGGAAACAATAGAGTTGGCATTGAACTGGTACAGCTGGTGAAGTCGTTAACATCGTCGACCAGAATTCAACCCTGGACGGGCCAGTGTCACATATTGGTATCCTGACCAGGGGATTTCGCCGAGTAGCGATGACCACCGATCGACCGGGACACAGGCTGGTGGCGGCGACAAAGAGTCAACCCCAAAACGCCGGTAGAAGAAACATTACAGTTTCGCGCCGCGACTGGGAGTTGACCACGAGCCGACGGCTGGGTGTCACATAAGTACACATAGTTGGCTCATCCTCATTTCCTTCTGTATTCCAATAGTAAATACGAAGCTCCAATCAGACATGTTCTTTCTCATAACTGTTACTTTGTGGAGCATACTCTTGAATGGCTGCTTCCCCGATCTCTACCACTTCAAGTCCAGAGTCAATATATTCTACAAATCATGATAATATGCATGTCTTACTCCATCCATTCACGATCATACAGCAACCCTCCAAATTTTTTCCTGAATGTTGTAGTGTTACTTTCCTTGATGACTACCGTGTCATGTAATATAATAATTATGTATTTGTCCTGCAATCCTTTTTTCCTGCAGGTTTCATTAAAAACGCGTAACAAAGTGCTGTGATTAATCTTTTTTTAATATAATTTTTCATGTATTCTTATAATTTTTTTTGTTTTCGGGACATAAATGATATAAAAATTGCCCAAATGTGCTATATATCCAAGCGCATTAGGTTATATTTCTAGCCAAGAGTGAATTTTATTTTGCTTTTATTTATTGGATTGTGTTATGTATGTATCTAGAGTTTTAGAAATGTTTTATTTCCAAACACGATCAGCACATTGTGGCCATGTTCATAGTCGATGTGACTGAGTGTTGGCTTTTTCTTTTTTTATTAATAATGCTTCTATTATTTTTAGCCTTTTTTACATGTGGATGAGACTATTATATATGTATTATCAACGAATATGTTGCGGATAGTGTTTGTTAGGTCTCCATGTGTATTTAAATGAGACCTAACTGAGCTCTTGATTCCATTCTCATTCCTTGATACCATCTTATATGGACTTTCGTATGTATGAACATCCATTAATAATAATGAATTTATTTACATTATTTATATTCGGACTATTGTCCTAATCTTCGTTGTTGTTATCACTATATTTTGGCCGTTGTCTCCTTCGACTTTTCTCGGGTGCATATCGATTTGGGTAACCTACAGGGGATTCTGAACTGAACCCTTTATTTAGTCTACAGTGGGAGACTGTTCCTCTGCTCATGGATAGCGATATCGTCTAGTTCTTGATTTTATTTAGTACTGTTCAGTTATTCAACGCGTTTATCTACGAGAACGTAGTGAACAGGGTCTTAAACCTGCTGATTAGGTTGCAACAGCTGCTGCTTCTGTCAGTCATGCTGTTAGACGTATAAATCTCCAGTTTTCTTCCTTGTAAAGTATTTTCACCTAATTCTACAGGAGCTGATGACTACCACTTTCCTTCCATACATGATCAGCCATGCCCGATTTTGTTGTGTTACCTCTCACTATGGCTTTTCGATGTTCCTCCATCCTTACTAAAGTCGTCCACTAAAAGTTCTAAGTTCACCAAACCAAACTGTCCCACAGGACAATGGCCTAGTAGATAAAGGCGTTGGTAACATAGTGATTTTGAGTTCATTTCATGCAGTGTTTATTTGCACTCAGTGGAAACGAGAGAGCAATAACTGAATAGTACTAAATAAAAATAAGAACTCGAAAAATCTGTAGACATTGGAACAAGAATAGTCCACCTCCGTAGATTAAATAAATAATTCACTAACAGCATCAGCGTATATGCTAGACTATGAGGACCTCCTTAGTGGGCCTAGCGCAGAAATAAATACAATATGGGAGCCGCTAATAAAGAAAGAAAGACAAATAAAAGCAAGTCTTCAACAGCAGTAATCGAAACATGGGCAGCAGTAGTAAAAACATGACTGACAGAAGCAGCAGCTGTTGCAACCTAATCAGCAGCCAGGTTATCCAGATATATTGATCTCTGAGGATGGTTGAAGGGCACAACGGCTGAAACGTTGTGATAACAACAAAGATGAGGACAATAGTCCAAATATAAATAATGTAAATAAATAGTGTAAATAATGACACTTCTTCATCCTAAATTTCAGACAAAAATAATGAATTTCCTTGTCATCAATAATCTGGTGTATTTTTACAATTCGTTTGTTTATTTTATCTAAATTTTATCTTTGTAATGTGATAAAATTAAAATAAAACAAGTTTTATTAAAAATATGTTCTTAATTTCATTGCGGCTGTGAGTGAAAGTGTGAAGCCTAATCTTACCATTTGTCCAGTTCACTTTAAAGCCCGATGACGTTATACTGTGGTCAGAATAGAGACGGATTATAACCAAATTGTTTTCGCTGTATATTGTCACATCTTGTTGTTTGCCAGTCAATCGCCCGATCAAAGTACTGTCCTTTAGTGTAGAGCCACCAGAATAAATTTCCAGGTAATCTGCACTGTCTTCAAGCTGAATTGACTTAAACTGTTTGAAATCAAATAAAAGGAAATTATAACCAGTTTTAAAAATTAACTGAAAAAAAGCAACATTCGGTTTATCTTATAAAGCAAAATATACATTTATCCTTTTTAATGATATTAAACGAGAAAACTCATGAGTAATATTTACACACCCGCACACACGTACACACAGATATAAGAGGGGCGATGAAAAGTTTTCGATTAAACCCACTTCCCCAAATCTGACCAAATGACCAAATATCAGAATCCTTTTAAAAAATAAAATATATTTTAAAATCCCTTTTTAGTCGAACCAAGACATTTCAGCACCTCGTAGTATATATAAAAAGAAATTCTTTATTATAAAAATTATGTTGCATCATAATAATATCAAATTAAGTATTTTATTGTTGTAAAAAACCTTTTTTATTTTTTTAATAAATAATTAAAATAAATTAATTTGACTATTTATTTTTTTTACTTACCATGAGTTTTATCTTCGTTCCAAGCTGGACCTGTATTGTCCAAATGCAATCGACGTTGCTAGTGTATTGCTCAACAGTTCCATGAATGCGACCAATGTCTTGTTTCAAGTAATACCGACATTTTTTATCTATAGGAGAATAAGAACAACAAAAAGTATCATTAACTATGTCAATGTGTCTGAGAAGCCAGCAAAAATATTTTATATATAACTTCTTATGAAATCCTTGGACCGTGAACATGACGAAAAATACTGGACAACAGGTGCAAAGCAGTAGAACATGATAAAATCTTCACGTACCGGGCAGCTGAAGTAATAAGACAAAGATATTAAAAAGTGCTGCAGTTGCGCAATGAATAAGTCATAAATTAAATCGAATTATGTTGGATTTTGTCTACTCTATTTTCAACTATCACATCTTCTGTGGTAATTTGTGGAGCATGTCATTAGCTGAAGGAAAAATAATTTCTTATTTTACTGATACGTTTTGTGAGACTTTTATTCATTTATTGCAATTAATTCATATATATATATATATATATATATATATATATATATATATATATATATATATATATACTAGCAGCATGGCCTGGCGTTGCCCGTGCTTGATTCAAAAATCGTACGACTCATACAGCAATCGCTATCACTTGACTTAAAATATTTTTTGCCCTTCCTTGCCTTTAAAGGAGTGCCCTTTGCCGTGCTGATGTTGCTACATGCCTTACTTCTTGCCTATCTCACACTGTGATTTTTTTCTAAGCTCTATACTAAACATTAAATCTGTTACGAAAAAAGAACTAAACAAAATGAACACAAAACGATCAGCTTAAAAAAAAAAGACTCGTAACTGGAAAAACCAAATGAAAAAAGAATGTTAACAACAAATACTTTTTCACACGCAACCTAGTTCTGCGGAATCAGAATCAACGTTGAGTTTAAGCAAAGGAATGAGCCAATTGGAGTAAAGTGCAATGCAGATTTAAATTTTTCCCACTTGTGAAGAATGCAGCTAGCGATTTTTTTGCATGCTAGTTAACATTCGTGTCAGTAAGCTGTTGGCTCTAACGCTGGCCAATAGAATTTTCCTGCCTATTCGTGGCAACCAGCTATAGGCTCTCACTCTGGCCAGTACAAAATGGCCGCAAACTACATGAAAACTGCCGTAGAAGCATGAAAAAATCGATTATTTCCACTATCGATGGGAGTTGGTAAATGCAAAGTCGGTCTTGGCCTTCCCGCTAACTTGGAGTATGTGCATGCAAATTTTGGTGCAAATCCGTTGAAAATTGCGGCCGTGCATTCGTTACACACACACACACATCCTGCCTTTTATAGATAGAAATATTGTATCTAGAGTAATGGAAAAACCTAGAAACAATACGTTTAAAGTTCATGAGAAGTAAATTAATTATAATTATGCTATGGCAAAGTTTGCTATTTTCAAAATTCTGTCAAGTACAGTAGGGAATATTTGCTAACATTGTAACACTATGAAATATAGATATTGTTGAAATATCCATTAAAAGAATATATCGAATAAAAACTCTGAAATCTTTAAATACATTGACGCCAATATTTATATCATATAGTTTCTAAGCATATTGATGGATAGTTAAAGAACCTTCTTTCAGGACGTGGGCAAACATGGCTCTCCATAACTTCCTGTATTTTTTGGCTCTAAGCTCTCGCAATTTACCATCCCTCTTCATCTTTGCTTTGCCATCCATTCACTTAAACTCGTTAAGTAGATTACTCGATATTTCCTCGGTTTCTCTTGCTTTCAAGGGTTAAATTCTCCACTTTCCTCATTATGTGTACTAGAAATTTCAGCTGTCTCTTTCTGATTTAATGTTCGCTTTATTTCCTATTTTTCTTAGAAATGCCTCGTTGCTCACATGTTCTGTCCATAGTACTCTCGGCATTCATCGGTAGAACCACTTTTATGTCACTTCAAGTCTCTGTGAGGAGATTGTACAGTATAAAGTAGATTAAATATTACAAAGCAATTCAGTACCCTTTTTTTCTAAAGATATTTTCCCATGTCATAATGCTTCGCTTAGTTTCTCGAGAACATCTTTCACTATTTTTATGCGCCTTCGGATTTCTGTCACACACTTTCCAGATAAGATAAATTTCTGTACCTGATTGATTTTAACTTCCCAAACTCACACATTTTGACTCTTTTGGTGATAACCATGCATTCTTTCTTCTTACAACCAATAATTCATCCTTTATTCTTGCTTTCTTATACCACCTTATCTAAGAGAACCTTTTTATACAAGAAGTGCTGAAATGTTCTCGGCCCTTTCAAAAACATTCTGAAGCTTAGTCATTTCATCAGATCAGCCCGTCTTCCCTCCTTAGATAGGTGATTAAAATAACTGCTAAACTGCGGTAACAAAATATTCATCACGTAAGAAACAATAGTCGAAGAAAATATACATACCACAGTTCTGTTCATCTGATCTGTCGCCACAGTCGTTTTGGTCATCGCATATCCAATCTCGATGCAAACACTTACCATTTGCACATCGAAAATAACCTGAAAAAAACAAAAACAAAATGTAAATTCTTAGTGAAATTCTAATGATTGATCCATTGGTGCTAACCGTAAAATCCGGTATTAATTATAAAAATAAAAATCCGGTATTAATTATAAAAATAAAAATCCGGTATTAATTATAAAAATAAAAATCCGGTATTAATTATAGTTTTTTTTTTTTTTTTTACCTATAACCTATTAATGATGATCGTCCAAAAATGGGACGGTACCATTGATGTCTTAATAAACCAAGTTTATGGCAGCCAACTGAATAATTGCCATTCGCAAAGTTAGAAGTTATGACTAACTTTGCGAATGGCAATTATTCAGTTGGCTGCCATAAACTTGGTTTGTCTACTTTAGCAAAATTCAATAAAAAATTAATAATAGCATTCAAAATGTCAGTGTTAAGCTCTATTAGTTCATCGAAACTATTATATGTTATATTATATATTATTATATTTTAGTAATTAAACAATATGTAAGATTTTATTCTAAAGAAGCAATTTCTCGTGACTTAAAAAGTCTAATATATCTGAAAATCTCTAAACTATAACAGTTTTTATTGTATTTTTTACAAGGAATCTGATTGTATTATTATGTGGTTGCATTAATTTAATATGAAATAAGTTGGATCAATAAATTGATAGCTTAGCTCAGCTCTTAGCTGAATTTTGTCCTGATATGCCACTTATATAACATTTAATCTATGTAATTAATGGAGAAATATTAGGTGAAATGTATTGACAATAAAGACAATTATGTTAAAACTATTTTACAAAATGCTTTTTCATCATTAGGCTACGGATGTTTTGATAAACTTAGGTACATATGTAATGACTATTATATAATAATGTAATCCGTACTCTGTATCATATATTATTGCGCTATTATTGATGCTGATGATGTTAAGAAAGTGATTTATACCTTCATAAATGCATAATACATACGAATGGAATATGTTCGTATCAGTAAAATAGTCAGTAGAAAGACAATTCATAAATTATAAACAATACGCATACATTATGAACATACCTTTGAGACAGGCTGGTGCCTGACAGGCAACAGCGCCCAAACTTTTGCAAGGCTTGAAAGATAGCTTAGCATTATGACCGATGGCCACGCACTGGCCTTTTGTCCTATCTGGTTGGTTCAGTTCCCAGATGCCATAAAACATCGACTCCACATTTGAATTCTTTTGCACACCTACAATTCAAGATATATTGGTTAATAAATTCGACTACTGATTACTCGTTTTGTTCTCAACAAAGAAACGTTTTAAAAAAATCTTGCCACACACTTCGGTACAATCTGTATAGTCACTGTTTTCCAATTTAAAAAAATATGCAGTAAAATAACTGGTATTGAAGATCACATTATTGCATATTATTTGAAACAAGCTATTGATCATTTTATTTCAATACAAATATAAAATACTTAATGATTTGAAAAACATTTTTAGAAATCAAAAGTTAACATCTGCAATACTTTGCGTAGGATAAAATCTCATTAGATTGATATTATTAATCGTAAAAAACAAAAAAGATTACTTTTTGAAATGTTAATATTATTGGATTTCCAGAGAAACCCCCAGATGAGTAAACCGATACAAAACTTCGAGAAAACATATCTAAATAAAATGTGAAGACCGAAATTGTCCCGTCTTTTAATAACAAATGGATATTAAATAGCGATGAAAATTTAACAGCATCTTTTAAGTTCACTCCGGCTTATAAACGTTTATAAAACATTCATACTGAGCATATTTTCTTCCGAATTAGCAACTGGTCCACAATTTTTCATGTAATTTGTTTCAATGAGCATGGAACGAATTCATTCTGGTGTTACGTTAACCCCATATTTGTACCCTCACCTCAGATTTTATAAGTATATTTTCAGTACCTTGTGTATTTGCGACGAAACATATGAATCTTAATAACTTCTTTATTTCTTGAATATGCAGATTGTGAGATATATATTGTTTTTATAACCAGATGAGTCAGGGCCAGTTCTCGGAAAAGAACCTTCCCTTCTACCCCCATTTCCTACCTGGTCTCTGATGCGTAGGCCAAACAAACGCTGTTTGACAGATAGGTGCGAATGATGTTAGCCAGTTCCATAGTCGCTGGCCAAAACGAACGCTGTTTGACAGATAAGTGCGGATGACATTAACAGGGTCCGTGAATGACGCATACCTTTTTTTGGGGAGCCAACACGTGACTCAACAGATAGCAGTTTTCACGTGTTGAGGTGACAACGATCTCACATAGTTGCTGGTTTTCAGAGGAATCGGACGTGACCAAAACCAGTCTTAGCTGTTTGCCGTTAGAAGAAACAGTTGTCACCAAAACCAGACTTCGCTGTTTGATGCCAGAAGGATTAGATGCCACCAAAAACCAAAGGACCGACGCGAGATTGTAGATCAACATCGTCAACCCAAGTCGGCTACGCTCCCGTGATTTTTCTGTGTGTTCTCCTCGCCATCACCCCGGATTGGACGTCGCCAGTCAAAAACTCATATTAGAACATTGACAATCCCATCCTTTACTTTCAGAGAAGTGTATGAATATCCTTTTGAACGAACTGTACCCCGATAATAGTCAATCGGCGTCGATTCCAACCTTATGTAAGTTTCTGCATGTTTTTCCATATCTTATAATCTGCTATCTACGTATTCATATGTATTTCGCTGCATTAGTATCTGTTTAATTGGTAACTTATCTCGCCATACCTTGTATTATTTAGTTTTCTTTTTCTTACATTTACACTTTGTGGATTCTATAAATAAAATCTTTGTATTATATATTCTCGTGTCGTCTTCTGTTGTTCTGTCTGCGTATGGTTCATTTTCTCTCTGCGTTTACCGACGTCCGGAATTGGAGAATTCCCCGCCCAACGTCCTTTTCTTTATTTTTATATCGAACCTTGGGATCTCTTACTTATTTTTTTTTCTCGTTGCGTCCTGGCTATCATAGTCCCAACGAAACCCCAGGCCTAACACTGGTAAGACTTGGAGCTTAAGGTGAATTTGAAACCACTGGTATAACTTTATTCTTTTCTAGATTAAGTTTCTGTTATGGGATCTTACCCATAATAATAATAATGGACTATTCCATACTTAATAAATACTGCGCCTCAGGAGTAGGCAAGGGGTGAGTCAGTAGTTCATGAGTCGAGTCAGTAGTTCAAGTCGAGTCAAGAGTCGAGTCAGAGGCAGTCCGAAACAGAGTCGCGTTCAAACAATTACTGCAAATCATTGGAATAGTGATACTGGTCGAGACTACATTGTTCTCTCTACTAAACCTGATTGTTCATACTAACACTTCTGCTTCTCTGTACATATTCCCGTTTGTAATATATGTGTTATTCCATATCTGTATTCGAGTTCTTCTTTATTGGTTCTACCTTGGACTATCACCGTGGTACAAGGAATCGGACTATAACAGTTTCTGTATCTGTTTTGTTTTTTAAAATGTGCCACTATTACTCATATATTAAAAGCATCATAAAATTGCTATCAAAGGTTTTCATAACTTTGTTTAAGACCCACTAAATTTCCTATAAGAAAATACATAGAATATCCAAACTAGAAGTGTGATGACGTGAATTAAGTATTCAGTGGATAGATTATAGCAACGCAGACAACCTATAGCAAGAGATTTATGCAACATTTTTAGTAAAATCAAAATAATGTATGAGAAAAAACAGGCGAAATCTTGATGCACCAGAATAAATAAATCCTGAATTGTGTTTTGCTATTAATTGGATTTAAATTATGTTCGATTTTCAAAAGAAGTTTTTTTTAATGGTAATAAACTTTTCACTGCCAATTTTAAATTTTGTTGTTCAGTTGCTTATACAGAAAAATATTGCTACTTTTAGCTGTTATAAAATTAGGTTTAAAGAATTTAAAAAAATAACACAAACAACCATCCTGAAAAAATATAATTAACTTATGCTATTTTAGCCCAAAATGCACCCTAACTATAAATAAGATAAAAAAAAAAAAACATTAAAATATAATTAGTCGGTAGATATCGTTTAATGATTGTAATAAATACGTGTAATATTTATTATCATTGCAAAAACTTTAAGATATCTGACTTTATCGTTACCAACAACACCAACCTTTTACATTTACAGCATTTCCAAATGTTTTCATCTTCACGAACTAATAACATTAATGACCTGATAATGATTATAGATGATTGAAAGAAATCGACAAAAACATGAACATGGACAATTTGTCCACAAATCTGATCCGAGTAAGCGATGAATATTAGACAAACTTGAAAAATGTAGTAAAGAATTAAAAAGATAAAACTTATTGGTAGATGTGAATAAAACTGAAACTTTGAATATATAGTATGTAAGTGAGACAAATTATAGCAAGGGTGACTTACCTGTCCACGACCACCTTTTTCGTGCTAAAGACGTTATTGTTTGACTGATAAATTCTTGTTCCACTTCATCTGCAGGATTTATAAGTTCGGCTCCGTTTCTTGATAGCGTAAAATGAATAAAATTTTGTGCGAAATTTTTAAAGAAGAAAGGTGGAAAAGAAAAGATTTGAATTGCAAAATATGACAGAAACAGAGAAAATCACTAAGAAATTGTCGAAAATTGACGGCGAATTTCCTCTTCGGAATGAAATTTAGCACTGAAAACTGTAAATTACCTTAATATAAATATTTTACAGTAAGTACAATTTTCCTATTTAATCCTTTATATGGAGAGAAAAGCAAAACCAATTTATTTCTACTAAATTAAGAGGATTATCTGTGTATGAATTTCTGGGACTTAAACTTAATATCTTCAGCAACCATTTTTATCAGTGCTCATATTGCAATTTTTTGCTGTTATCATTGCAAGTTTTTTTTTTACCAGAGCTCATATTGCAATTTTCGTTGCAGTTTCACTGATAAAAATGGTTCCGGTGAAGACATTAAATTTATAAGTCCCATAAATTCATACACAGGTGTCCTTAAGGACACATGACACAGTGGATAAAGGCGTTGGTTAGATCCATTGACAGGAACCAAAGAGTTGTGAGTTCAATATCTGGTTAAGGCAGTGGAGAACTTGGAGAAGTGAATTAACAGGGGATAACTGATAACTGACATCCATTAGACGTGGAACTTGAACAGTCTTCCCCAGCGATATTCCAACCACCTGAAGAAGGCCGGAGCGTACAACGTTGTGATAAATATGGCAACAAAGATGAGGACAATAGTCCAAATAATGTAAATAGTGTACATAATACCTCATTTCAGAAATATAGACAGATACAAAAAGTCATGATATAAAATATTGATTTTTATGACAGTTCATTCCTACTTAGAAATTGGCACAACACAATCTTCCTACAATTATCCCTTACCCACTGTTGGACATATGTTGTTACTATGTTAGGTTCAGTAAATATGCAAGTTCTGTATAGCATGCTGCTATTTTAACTTGTCCTTTATCTGACATATTATTCTGCTCAGCCACACACAAGAGGCTAAACACTCACACCCATACATACAGATTATTTCCCCTATTCACTCATTTGAGTAGATTTAGAAACGAATATAGATATACACGAGGCCACAATCATTGAGTCCCCTATAAATTGTTTGCAAATCAGAAACTACAATTGCAATAACTTTGAAAAATGAGATTTTCTTTTTCAGTTCACTCCGTGAAAAATCAGTGAATTAATTTTAGTTTTAAATATAAATTTTAAATCCATTTTAATAATTAAAATCATTTTAACTATGTAATTAAGACATTAATCAAAATATTATATATTAACAATGCCATGAAACTATATTAACACAAATATTTTTTAAAAAACTGGTAGCAAATATGTCCTCCTGTAGTTCCTGTTCATAAGATTTCTGGAGAACACTCTGACTCCTCAAATTAACGTCCTATTTGGCTCTTACCGTTTTTGGTAAAGCATACGAAGCTCTAATCAATGCTAAAGTAGTTAGGCATCTTACTTCTCACGACTTCCTTACGGACAAACATGGCTTCCATTTCGCCAGGTCTACCGCCGATGTGATTTTAATGTCTCTAAAACAACCTGCTTGAGAACCTTTTTGCCTGTCGCCTTCTTTGCCTCACGTTCTCCACTGACATTCGCCTATATCGAATCAATTGCGGCAAGGAAAGCTTTGTGTAGTAGGGTTA